ATTCTTTATGACGGTGAAAATCCAGTTGGGGGGGGCCACTCATATATCTTATCTACATATCTTATCAAAGTGACTATCTAATCAGAGCGAAGTTGCGGAAAGGCCCTCATATCTTATCAACATTCAGAGCACAGGCTCTGTGTGTGCGATTAGATAGGATACCACTCGCACTAATTCGGCCAACCAGTCGTCAAATTCCTCCTTTGACTTCGCCTTCAGCTCAGGCCACGTGGTGAACATCGTGAAAGTGCGAAGTGTCAGCGACGAACGACGGGTACAAGGGAGGGGGCAGGTGCGCATTGTAGAACATCCGCTGACAAGTGCGAAGTGTCAGCAGGCAGCAGGCCATGCGCGCCTATAGAGATGGCTAGGACAAAGGGTAACAGTCAAATGAATGTGTGACGTAGCAATCGTAGGACACCGTCTCAGTACGCTGATTACGTTTGATAAGATATGAGTGCCTTCCCCTATGCTGTGATTAGATATGAGGGCCTTTCCGCAACTCCGCTCTGATTAGATAGTCACTTTGATAAGATATGTAGATAAGATATATGAGTGGCCCCCCCCCCAACTGGAGTTTCACCCTTTGCTATGGGGCATCCTTCAACTCGCTGTTGTGGGCCGATGACGGTGGTAGCGCAAACAGTCACATGTCGTGCGATTCTTACGCGTATAGGCACCCCCTTCATTTCGCCAATTAGTCCACACCAGGGTGAATATCGCTTGAGGATTCCTCAACGGCACGTCGAGGATTCTCTGCCCGATCAGACACGATCTCTCGCGCGGACATTCACACTCGCCATGCGCGTGCCGTCTGTGCTCTCCGCGCGGATGTTCACTCTCGGCACTACTCTCGCATGGTAGAGAGCTATGGTCGAGGAAATCCTCGACCGTTATTCACCCTGCCGTTCCACACTCCATTTCTTAATTATCTTTTTGATTCTGAGAGCAGCGGTACACGGATAAATTTGTCTCTTAAAGCGAGGGAGCTTAATCCTGCTGATTTGAAGCGCAAACAAAGGAATCTGCACCTAACTAGACGGTATGTGGCGCACTTCACTGCAAAAGGCTCATACATATGGAGAACTTCGAACTTTACCGAATTTCTGCTGAGCTCGTGTTTCGGCTCCGACCGCTCTGCTGCACGCCCTCAACTAGGCGCCTCTAGTTTCCCCGAGAAGCGAAAAAGAGCACTGTGCTCCAGTCGAAATTGATAGATATCGGTGCCCCGCGTATAGCGCCAAAAGTCTCAAGCACTATAAGAAGCCCAAGTTAGAGCGTACCATCCTTTTAGCGCGGTGTGAGAAAGATAAGCCGTTCCACGACGGCAGCGGGTCAAGCGGCCGATCGAGAGGGAAATAGGCTGCCAGGGGCAATTGCCGAAGCAATGCGCCCAAACCGAGTTTTCCAAGACTCGTAGGCTCTGTGAGGTGCCTAGTTAGATGATTTTATGGTAGTCCGGCAAAGCGTGTACGCGAAACAGATCTGCCTCAACGCAAAGAAGAAGCTGGGAGGAGGGGACGCGAGAATCTACTCTTCTTATTAGTAAACGAAGACCTTGATATGAGGCTTTAAGATTAGTGCAGTTTTATGCTGGCCGACTTCGAATATTCTCCAAAGGACTATTCCAAGATAAGGACGAAGGTCGAACAAGGGAAAGTGTACTTTGTAGAGGGAGAGATAGGCAAATCTCCGGGATAATGCGCCGCCGAGCTAACATGGCGTCGCATCGGGCAGAGGCATATGCAAAACAACGGCGCACAGGCATAGATATTGAAGCATGCCATTTTCCCGGTATGCGCCGACATTATACTGACTGGCCTAACCCACCGGCCAGCCTAGCGGTCGGAGCCAGGTTTAGCACGCAGAAGGGACGTTAGTGTTGAACAGGGCACAACGATGAGATGTAAATAGTTTGGCTGTAGCCTGATTAAGATTTCAGCTTTTTTTATTAGGCTTAGGTTTCGGCCATATAGCGTCAGCAGCCTTGAAAAGTCGAAAAAGAAGAGGTGGTAGACGATCCTTTTCATGAGTGGCGCCAAACAATCCTGAATGGCCCAATTTCTCCATACTAACCAACAGGCGATATCGATTAAACCAAGAGGGCTACAAGGCTTAACTAGACCTTTGTCGCTAAGATGAAGATCGACCACCCACGAAGCAGACTTTAGCGTGGAATGAGCAAACCTATCTCTCTCCTGACTCCCGAAAACCTGCCGGCAGATCTAGGAAGGGTGCCAGGTCACGGGTTACGGCTACACATTCCTCTTCCTTATTGATTTTAGGGTCCGTAGCAGCCATTTTGGGGGTCCCTAGCAGCAGCAGGATTGTTTGGCCCATGGAAGGATCGGTATCAATTGCTTCTTTTCGACATTTCAGGCTTTGACGAAGGCGAAGAGACCGAAACGCCAGCCTAATAAAAAGTGCCTGAAATCTCGAGCGGCAGGCCTACAAGCAAAACTGGGGGTCGCATATCAATTTTCATGCCAAGATTAAGAGAAAGTCGTTCTTGAACAACGATGAGAGTCGCATCAATGCGGAAATCAGGGGCAGGAAAGGGGTCCCATTTCTCGGGTTATGGGTCGTTTCACATGGCGCTTTCATCATCCCCCCGCTCCACTAACCACTACTTTTATCACCATTAAGCTACCTTCGCCGTAACATCCGCGTCTAAAGTATTGAAAGAAGCATTTCATTGCCATTTCTTAACTACCTGATTAAGATGTCCCACGGACGAAGAGCTGCTGAAGCTCTATAATATCCTACTCCGCTGAGGGCATTCGCTCGATCCCGAGTCTTCAAATTTGCCGACAAAAGTGACATCAATATATTATGCCAAATACGGCTCATGATGAAACAGGACGCGCTGGAAATGGGGACATGCACGGTGGGTTCTCGTTTGATCCCATCTTTTTTCTTCTTTTCATTTTTTATCCTCAACGGCTACAAACATTGTAAGGAGGTTGGACGTTTGTTGCGACACGCATCAACACTTTCGTTTCCTTGTAAAGAGATCACCTTTCCTTTGGCCATGCCTTTAGAGAGCGTAACCATGTTGTTTTGAAAACGCATAGATTGAATGGGCAAATTTGTGGCTCACAAAGGTCCACATGTCAATCGGCCAGTCAAAGTGGTTTGTATACGCACCACAGCGTTGCCTTGAGACGCTAATGTACAGGGGTGGCCAAAAAACGACACTTGGCCCATGGCGCACATCATCAAACTTTTCATCGCACAGGGTGCCTGTTGATGAAAGTTTTACGGCAAAATATCCCTTAGATGTCCTCCCATAAGTAGAAGCAGGCCCTCCTTCCACTGCCCTCACCGTCCTCAAAATATGACGTCATCTTCCATCACCGTTGAGCTCAAGAAGGCCTACCGTAATCGTTCCAGCCTGAAGCTGCTACGAAATTTCTTCAATGGTTAACTGACGGATTGCTTCCTAGGGACAGTAGCTCTAAATATGCAAGACCCCTTCCGACCAGCGTTTCAGATAACGTCGTAAAGGTCCATGATCCGCCGAGGACCAGTTGAGCTCGAACCGTGCACAAGGTTCCCATGGCAAATTCTTGTGATGTCCTTGGTGCAGAAAGCTATTATAACGTTTATTGATAGATTGGGATGTGCTCTTCAATACTAAGTTGGGAGCAGTCGATTTGAGTTTAGCAAAGTGTGATTAATGCTGTCTGAAATGTGGAGCAAGTGTCTCTTTTTTTGGCCACCCCTGTAAGCCCGGAGAGGGTTTCTACTATATCTGCCAAAATTTCCACAAACACAATTTTTAAATATCATTGAAAACAACACTGTGCATGTTATCCTTCAGCCATTAACTGCTCAGAAAATCTCAGCGTATTAGACGCCTTTGTGCAAGCGTTTATGAAGTAATGATTACAAAAGTATTCCTAGTTACGTTGCTGATAAAGCAAAGAAGCAAACTCGTTAAGGAATTGATACAACGATCTCCCACCTGTGGGCCCATACTACTGCCGGTGCGCTTTTTCGCTTTTCAACTACTTTTATACGATCCAGATACGGAGCGGATTACTGAACTAAACGTCTCAAGGCAGAGCAGCGTTATACAATACATTTCAGTCATTCGAGTTGACCTGTTGATCTTCTCTCTCAGTTGAAATGTGCTCTGTTTGAATAGACAGTGGTATAAACAGCTTATAACCCTCAACCCCTTTGACCCTTGTCAAATGACCGCAGTAACCAGCGCACCGTGGCCAGACAGCACTATACATACAAGGCTAGCATGATCGAATTATGGCAGTTCACCTGTCTTTTCCGCCTCATCGGACAGGCATCGAATCGGAACTTGGTTTTTGTTGAGTACATAGGCGAGTTCGTTTCTTCCACTGTATCGCTGCCGAAATGCCGATGACAGCCTTTCTTGCCAAAATGGCCCTTGAGGTAGACGTGGCCGGTAAATGGTTCTGATGTATTCATGAACGCGTAAACTCCGTCCGGTGTGCATTTTATAGTTGGTATACCTGAAAGTTAAAGCAAATAGCATTCAAAGGCAGTGATTGCACTATTCAGGAACATTAGGAGATGACGTCTATTAAGAATGTTGAGAGCCGCTTCGACCATGCCTCCAGCAATTGGAATTGTGGCTGGACCGACTTCCAGCGCCCTCCCCGTAATACGTCTTCAATGAACTCTGTCTTCCCAGCCATTACACTCTTGCTTTCAATTCAAACGTATTTTTTCATAAGCGCTTACTTTACTCTATTGTGATCGGAATCTCATTAGCTATTCAAACTAAGAACATATATGATGAACAAAGTGGTTGGAGTTAAGCAATCCCTCCCTGTTGCGACACCTGTCGGCTTTCATAACAATGAAACTTGATGTTGAGA